CAACGGACCGTGTAATACCCCCCCACACACACACACACCGACAGAGGAAAGCCACCACCGACATCGGCGCAGATGCACACTTGGACGCACCAGCGACCCCTCCGCGGCAATCTAATTGGTCCCACGCCTCGCTCCACACAGAACTACACACATACACACGCACCGCCCGCTTCTCCGAAACCCACCGGGCCCCATGTACGACGTCGTAGTACCGCTGCTGGCGGGAGATCATTGCGGCCGTAGCGCCGTCGGTCACCACCGCGGCGCCGTCGGCGGTAGCAGCCTTCCCCGTCGAGCGGCTACTGCCGCCGCGCGCCGCCGCCGCCGCTGCCGCTGCTGCCGCGGCAGCTGCGACCGCGGCATGCCCCACGTTACTACCCGCCGCTGCCTCCCCTCCCGCGGAAATCGCCGTCGCCGACACCGCCGCCGCCGCCGCCATCCCCGGCAAGCTTCCACCAGCCGCGTGCTGCACCCCACCTGCAGCTTCACCAACCGACACAACGGTATTCCGTATTTCCCGCTCCCGTACTTCCTCTCCTCCTCCGCCGCCGCCTCCGCCGCCGGGCCCCTCCGCCGCCGCCGCCGCCGCTGCGGCTCTTGTGGCCTTGTGCTGCAGCAGCTGCTCGGTGAGGGCCGCCATGATGGCGTCCGTCCGCTGCAGCAGCTCCCGCAGCCGGGAGTCCTTGGCTCGGGAGGCCAGTAGCAGGTAGGCCGAGTAGTTGTGTGACTGGGGGGGAGGGGGGTAAGACGAACCACGAGCGAGTGAAGGTGATGCGAAGGAAAGACTGTTGTGCCAGAAGTGAAGGAGGCACAACTAACCAGTTGGCGGTTGTGAAGAAGAAGTCCTCGCGATGTTTGTAGTAGTCATGACGATAGCGGAAAACTACCTACCTAGCCGCCAAGGCTAAAAATAAAGTGCGGAAAGAGAGCAGGAAGACCATCCGTAACATTTTAAAGGTACGGTGTGATGGCGGCAAAAGAGCAAAAAGCTGACGTGTGTAGATTTAGAGGTGACGTAAGCTGAGATAAATTTGCTCGCCGGTGGAGGGGGGGAAGGGGGGCTGGAGGTGAAGGGGGAGGGGAAGGGGTGGTTGCGCGTCTGTGGATGCAGGGAGGTGCAGTTGGGCGCCTGTAACGAAGGCGGCGGAGGTGAGGTGACGGTTGAGCCCGGGCGGTTGAGGTGGTTGGCTGTTCGGGAGCCCCCCCCTCCCTTCCCCGCAAACCTTGAGCGCCTTGACCCTCTCCGCGGCCTCCCTCGCCGCCCGGGCCCTCTCCCTGGAGTGCCAGGACTTGACTGCCGTACACCGGGCCTGAGGGGGAAACGGGGCGGGAGGGTTCAGCTGAGGGGGCCCGTCCAGGGCAGGGTGGAGCGGGGCGGGGGAGGGGGAAGGGGAGGGGAAACACGTATACACATACGCATGCACACACACACACACACACCTGCCGCAGGGCCGCCTTCTTCCGTGCCGCTGCCGCCCTCTCCCGCCCCACCATCACCGCCTCGGCCACCAGCAACGACCGAACCGCCGCCGCCGCCGCCTCCTCGTGACGCTCCCTGCGCCGCCGCTCAACCGCCACAGCCTCCTCCCCCTCCTGCTGCTGCTGCTGCTGCGACGGCCGGCCCAATCCTGTGCCCTCGTCTCCCTCCTGCCCCGCCGCAACCCGGGGTGGCTCCAAGCGGGCGGTGGGGGTGTTGGGGGCGCCTCCCCGGGCGGGGCGGGGGTAACCGGCAAGGGGGTCCATATCGGCCTGTTGCAGCCTGTGGGTGGGTGCGGGAGTGAAGTGAAGGTGGGGGAGTGTGCTGTGTGTGCTGTGTGCTGTGTGCGTGTGTGTGTGTGTGGTGGTGGTCATGTCAGTGGGTCGGCTGGGGAGGAGGGTTACGCGAAGGGGAGTGGGGAGTTCGGCAGCGGTGGGTGGTGTGACCGGAGAGCTGCTGGATCGCGTGTTCTAAGTTAGTAGAATTAGTTGGTCAGTTAAAACCAGTTGCCGGTTACATGCACATGAACTGGCGTAATGAATGTGTTAACATTGAAGTCATTCACTCAACCATTGGCAAACACACATACACATACATATACACATACACACACACCACCACCCCTCAGTTCCCCCTCACCGGGCGACCCGCCAGGCACTGAGACCCCGTTGTACGGCCCACGATACGACAACGTCCTCCACATCGTCGCCAGCCCTCGTAGCGGCCTCCTTGTCCCCCCGCTGCTGCTGCGGCGGCGACACCGGCGGCGGCGGCGGCGTTTGCTCGTCCTGCTGCGCATGCGGCTGTAGCTGCCGCCGCCCGGCCTTCAGCATTTCCGCCGTTCGCGCCACCACACGACCCAGCCGCTGGGCTGGCATGGGCCGCCGCATAAGCCCCCAGTCCACCAACAGTGCCGTACCAGCGCCGCTAGGGAGGTCAGCACCACCACCAGGAGCGCTACCACCGCCACTACCAGTTCCGCGCATGTGCTGCTGGTGGTGCTGGTGGTGCTGCTGGTGGTGTTGGTGGTGCTGCTGGTGGTGCAGAGTTGTCCGAGTCGTACGCTGCTCTTGTTGTTGGATGTGGGGAAGTGACGTGATGTGGTGCAACCCGGCCAGGCGAGTGGGGGGAGTCAGTCGCCGGCACTGGAGGGGTGGGGTGGGGGGTGGGGGGGTGAGGGGTGAGGGGTGGGGTGTGGGAGGAATCAAATCCAAGTCAAAGAGCGGCAGGAGATCGCGGAGAGCTGGGCCGCGAGGGCGTGTTGCCCGAGGGCAGGTCGGGCACTAGGTGGGAGAACAGGGGCTCAAGCCTCTAATGCCCCCCTTCATACATCCCCCTTAGTGGCCCTGAACCCTTTTTAAACCGTCCGCCGCCCCTTGCCCCTCCCCCCGTAGTTACTTCACCCATTCGAACCTTGCCGCCAAGCTCAGGCAGTGAGGCGCCGCAGCGGACGGACAAAGGCGGCGACGGTTGGGAGCTGCTGCCATTACCATCGGCGCCATAAAGCCGCGCAGCGGAAGGAAGAAGTGTCACTTCGGGGGACGGTTCCTTGGCATCACCGATGTTTGCAGGGTGTGCTGAGTGCTGATTGCCAAGCTGGGTGTCACAATCGTGTGAGCCGGACGGCAAGGTGCGCGGTACCCCGCAGCCCGGCCGGTTTCCGGCTGACGTATTTGATCCGAGATTAGCTGGCAGATGGTTTGGCGTGTTTGCCGCCGGACCTTCCGTCATGGGGGAAGCCACAAGGCGTCTACACGACGAGACTCAGGAATTGCACAGCTGAATCACATGATATTAATTTTAAACTTCATCTTTGTAATTTGTCCAGTGAAGCAGGGCGCTTTGGGAATAAAATTAGTAAACACTCAGTCTGGTCATGCCGTCATTTGTTTTATATGTATCTTTCAAATGAAAGGAGATGGCGTTGTACACTACGTGCGTATTAGCTTGCACTTTTTAAGTTGTAGCCGCTGTGTATGTATGTTGCTACCCCGCCATGTCAAGGCCGTGGCCCATTTTACATAATTTTGTGAAATCATATATTCAATTCTGGTAGGAGTGCATGATCGTCGCCCTTTCGTTGAAACCTCGACGCTTGCCAACCAACTGCATCGGGACGTTGCCCTTCCCGCACAAGTCGTCTAGAGTCTCGACAGTATTCCTGTGGCCAAGGCATACCACCAGACAGGCAACATGTTTTACGTTCTCAATTGTGCTTTAGGTCCTCGTCGACAGGCATCGGCCATACAGACACGGAGCCGTTTACGACCTTGATGCCAACACAGGTCTTCCTCCCTGAAAGGCAGTACCCAGATCAGTGCCACGATGCCTTACATGCATAATCGCGCTTTTGTAACTACATGCCTGGTCCCCCACCAAGTTGTGTCTGGCTAATCTGAGGGGTGCGGTGGACAAAATGTCACTTGTGCGTGTTGTGATTTCGGCCTGACTTCACTGTTTACTTGGTTCACTGTTCCGATAGGACGCGAACTGCGTCTGGGCCGACCTTTTTTTGGTCTTATCGTAAGAACAAGATCTCCAAGTGCTATTTGTTCTCTGAAGCTACACTGCGTCTTTAGCTGAATGTAACAATTATTGCTTGTCAGGACTTTTGCGTGTCCTTGAGATTTGAGGCATAGTGTCAGCTGGCTTGTCCAGCTTGTGCTGAGCTGGACGTCCATCAGCTGTTCGCCTGGGCAGTCCCTGGCTTGGGTATGCGGGGCAGCACGTCGAAGGAGATCGTGGTCCCCGGGCGGGGGGCCTGAAGTGTCTCCTCCAAAATGCGGTCCTCGGGCACCTCGAGGAGAAGCCTGTCCGGGTGGAACATAATGGGTTCCGGCTGTGGTCGTGTGCGCTGCTCTGTTGTACTGGGACGCTGAACAAGGTCTCGAAGGTTGCGCCGTACTTCTTCAGTTGCCTAAGTAGCGGCAAAACCTGTAGGATCTGAGGCATCACCTCAGAAAACGGTGCCAAGCAGTTCCTGATCTCACTATATTATTTCTGAGATCCTCCATTTCTCCATTCATTGCTAAGCGTACTGGTGTGCTGCCACTTGGTCCAGTCCAGGCAGCCATTTCCTGCCGTTCGCGTATCACTTGTACATCCCGTTCATGTGCTTTGGAAAGAAACTCTTTGTCCTTATGAGGAGTGTTTTTTCGTTTTGTCATAGACGCAATCACTGCAGCATCACTGGGCTGTACTTGCAGGGCTATACTTGCGCCCGGAGCGAGGCTAGTACTTTCCACGAAGTAAAGCCAAGTAAAGCGTTGATGGCAATCTGTAAAACTGGTTGAGCTGCCGTTGGTTTCGTTACGCCAACAGAAGAGTTAAAAGACAAGGAAAAGCTCCTAATGATCAGGGCGGACTTGCGCAGATCGTACACACCTGGATGAGGCGACGTACGCTGATAGCCGAGTTGTAAGCCTGAGGTCGGTTACTCTAGTTACTTTTTTCTCTCGCAGATGGGGTTCATAGCCCCTTCCTTCCTTCCTTCCGTCTTTTTGACTACGTTAAAACTCGCGGTCCATGAGCCTCCTGGCTCGTCTGGGCTTTTCAAGCTCTCTCGAGCTTGTATTGTAACAGAAGTGGGCTCCGGACAATGTACAACAGCGCGATTGACCATGCGTACGGCTGTTCGCACCAAGCTTGTAGCAAGGGTGCAGGGCCTTCCATTATTGCGATGGAAGATAATTGGATTGTGCCAATTGCTTTTCTCTAAATTTCCTTCGCATTTCCTTTAGCGGATTAACATACTTACCTTGCAAGGCTGCCTCGACGATAAAAGGGCCACGAATTCCACATCTACGCAGGATACTAGTCCTGTCTCCATGTCATAGGTCTTAATGGCGTTCCCTGGAAGGAAATTGGTCGGCTTGTGACTGGATACCAACGGCCCTAAAGCGCATGCTCGGACGCTATAGCCACTTGCGCCGTAATCGCCCTTCTGTAAGCATATGCAATTGCCATGCGGCATGTGTCAGAATGTATAACGATTGCTTAAATTCGTTGTATGCCAGCTGTCGCCAACCATGTTCCGTTGGGAATTCTCAGGACCCAATTGGGTTATCAGCAATTGCAATAACACCCATTTTCCGCAACCACACTGCAGGTCTCCAGAACTCAACATTTAGCTGAAAATGGTCGCTTCTTCAAGCGCCTGCTTTCTCAGCCCCCGGCCGTCCCCCAAGCTCCACGACTGCCGCCAGCACGGCCCGTCCTCCAGCCTCGCCCTCACATCCCTCGCCTCCCCCACGCAGACGCGCATCCAGACCCTCAACCCAGCCTCTAGCCCTCCAGCCCGCCGAACAGTCCGCGCATGCACCGCTCTCCCCTTCGGCTTTCCCTCCTTCGGCTTCCCGCCATTCGGCTCCCCCTCGGGATCTGGCCAGGCCGCCAAGGCCGCCAACACCACTAACAACACCAGCAGCACCAGTAACAGCACCAATGTCAACAACGATATAAACATGATTGGCGAAATGGTTTGGCACCACACGTCGGGAGCCGCTCTGGTCGCTCCGGGCCCCGGCACCTCCGACCCGGAGGGGGCTGGGACGGCCACTGCTCCGGGCACTCCGGGAAGCATTGGCAGTAGCAGCACCGACACCGCCATTAATGGCAGCAGCGACCCCGCTGTAGCAGGTGCCAACTCAGCAGCAGCACAGCAGCAGCAGCTGCCAAGCCCGGGGGCACCACCACCACCACCACCACCACCCACACTACCGAACGCGCGACGTCGCCTCACCCTCCTGCCGCAACCGTCGCCCTCAGGGCCCGCAGCTGCCCCAGTCGACATCTCCTCCACATTCTCGGGTAGTCTGCAGAGTACGACAATGGAAGCGGTTGCCATGGCTTGCGGCACCCCCTGGGGGTCCCATTCCGGAGAGCAGATCTCACCCCCCGGGGGGAAGGAGGGGGAGGGAGTAAAGGAAGGGGAGGGGGAGGCGCAATTGGAAGCACGGGCTGTCACCTCTGCGGAGGGACGCGGAGGTCCTCTGCAACCTCCGAAACCTCAACAGGGGTTGTGGGGGGCCCTCCGCCTCCGGTCGGGGCCCTCGGGGCCACTGCCGTACCCCTGGGCACTGACCGGTGGTGGCAATGAAGGGGGGGGGAAGGGGGGGGACAGCAGCTGCACCTTAGCTGCGACAGCAGCGGCAGCAGCAGGGGGAGGTGAGGGGGACGATGATGCAGTGGCGGGCAGTTTGCGTGAGGCAGGTCGCTGCGGCAGTAGCGGCAGCGTTGGCAGCAGCAGCAGCAGCCGGCGGGTGGGGGTTGTGGGGACCAGCGAGCTGCTGCCGGACATCAGGCGGCTGCGGCAGGTGTGTACCGGGGACCCCCCTCCGGGTAGCCGGGGGTGCGGGGTGGGGGCCGTGGGGACAGCACCGCGCTCTATATTATGCCTGTTAGGCCCTCACGCAGGTCCTTAGATCCCCCCGCCAGCCTACCCCCCATGTCTCCATGCCCCCCACCCCGGTGGCTATACCCGCCCACCCTACAGTACCCAAACCCAACATATCCCCGTCCACTTCAACTTCCACTGCTACTTCCCTTCCCTCCCCCCCCTCCCGGGGTAACCAGTCACAGCTTCTGGCGGAGACTCCTCTTCCTGGGGCCGGCGGCTGCGGAGGTGAACCTCATGGAGATGAGAGAGAAGGAAACCTCCCGCCACCAGACGAGGGTGAAGAGGGCGTACGGGGGGTTGAAGAGCGCAGCTGCAGCAGCAGTAGCCACAGCAGCTGCTCCGGCGGGAAGAGGGAACCGCACGTCACGCAGCTGCCACCGCTACAGCAGCAGCAGCAGCAGCAGCAGCCCGGTGCCGTGTGGTTACTGAACCAGCTCCACAGCGGTCTGGTGGGGGGGCGGCTGAGGCCATCGGAGCTGCTTGGGGTGCCCGGGCTACTGCCCTTCCTCACGGACTGCATGGAAGCGGGCAGCGGCGGTAGGGCTGGCGGCGGCGGTGTAGGCGACGGCAACCGCAGCTGCACAGCCGACCGTTGGAAGGTTCCGGAGCGCGGCGTCAGCGCAACCACCGCCGTTGCGCTCGAGTGTCTTTGCACGTGAGTACGGTGGTGTATGTCAGGGTTGTACCCGACGGCCCCTCCCTTTTTTCCCCTCCGGCGTGCTCTCCAGCCGCCCGGCGACTTGTGTATTGGAGGTACGGTGCCGTGCAATGTCGTAGTATGCCGTGCTTGGCAGCTACTGCCCCAGGGGTAGAGTTTGGCCCCGGGGTGAAGTGCGAATACGGCTGACGGGTTTCAGGGTCTTGGCTCCGCCATTGGTGCCACTTGCTATCCGTCCTCTCAGACCGCACACACACATACATATGCGCAGACAGACAGACAGACAGATCGATACACGGACGCACACAGGGCTCACCGTCCTCGCCAGCCCCCTCCGGACCCTCTTCTTGTCAGGTTCACGTGTTAAGCCCCTCAACCTCAACCGCACCCCCCGCCTCCCCACTTCCTCATCCTCATCCCCCACACACCCGCGCATCCGCAGCTTGCTTTCCGAGGAAGCCCTCTCCCTCCTCACCACCACCACCGCCACCACCGCTACCACCACCACCACCCCCATACAGCACCCCGACCTGATGCCTCAGCTGGCGGCGGCGGTGGCGGCGGCTGTGGGTGTGTTGGCGGCTGCACGGCTGCCCTCACCGGTCACCGCACCTCAACACAACAGCAAACAGTCGCCGCCGCTCAGGATGGCGGCGGCGGCGGCAGCGGCCGTGTCCGACTCCGGTACGAAGAATGCCCCGGTGGCCTCCGCTGCCGCCGCCGGCGGGTTGTCGGATGGTACGGCAGAAGCGTACGAAATGAGCGCTGACGTCAGCGCGGCCTTCTTCGCCGCCAGTGTTGTCGTACGGGCAGCTCGGGTTCCGGAGCTGGCACAAGCGGCGGTGGCGGCGGGCGGCCTAGGGCTGCTTGTACGGCTTATGGGCTGTCGGCCGAACATGCTTGCGCAAATGGCTGTGTTTGCAACGTACAAGCTTGTACGGCAGATACCGCCGCCGGCGACGGCATCGGCGGCTGCAACAGTCAATGATGACGGAGATAAGCAGCAGCCTCAGTCTCCTCCCCATAGTCCTGCCTGTGATGTGGAGCGGGAGTGGCGGGCTGCCGCTCTGCTGACGGTGGCCCGGTGCGGGGGTGTGGCTGCGCTGTGCGGGTGCCTGGAGGGCCCTCTGGAGGACGTGGCCAGCAGGGACATGGCCTCGTCGCTGCTGCTGGAGATGGCGCTGGTGCCGCAGGTGCGTGTGTGTGTTTCTCTCGGGGGGTTGGGGAAGGGGGGAAATGGCCGTGGCGGGAGGGAGGGTGGCGGGTGAGGGCGATGATGATGATGATGTTGATGCGGCGTGCCGAGTGATGCATTGGAGCTTACCCCCGGGGGGGGGAGGGTGGGGGGGCGCCCGGAAGGCGCCCGGGAGTATGAGATGACGACGAGGAGTGACTGGGAAATAAGGCCCCTTTGGTTGCTGTGTGGGTTGTAATGACCTGTGTGTCTGTCTGTATGTGTGTGTGTGTGTGTGTCTCCCGACCGCCCATGCCGGGTTCCGTACGCGAGCGCAGGTACCCGCAGTGGTAGGGGGCTTGAATCACGTACGGCACCTGGTGGAGGTGATGAGCTCCCCCCGCTGCGACCACGTCGCACGAATGTACGGATTGCTCGTACTCGCCCGGCTGTGCAACCACTCGGCGGAGTGCCAGATGGACGCAGTGAGGGTGAGCGGAGGGGGCGTGGGCGGGGGGAAGTGTGTGGACGGACACGTCATACACACACGGGGAGGGTGATCATGACGCGCAAGAAGACGCAAAGGGTCCACTACTGACAGCGTCTAAATCACCAAGCAAGTGCCGTACGGAGAAGTCCAACCACCATCGGGTGGGGGGTGGGCATGTCCCAACCACGGACGGTATCGCAACCCGGCAACTGCTCGTGGAGGCTCATGGGTGGGGGTGGGGGGCCGGGTGGGGTTACAAAGGAGGAGGGAAGACCCACCCTAGGGGGAGCTTATGTCCTGATTCCCCCCACATACATACATACATACATGCATGGCCCCGCAGGATGGCGCCCTGGAGCCCCTGTTGCCCCTGGTACGGCAGGGGGGTGAGGAGGAGCAAATACACGCGTGCCGGCTGTTGGCCATTCTGGCTCAGGCGGTTCCCACACACGGCCGAATGAAGAGCAGCGGGGTGAGTGCGGGTCAGACAGGAAGGGGGGAGGGGGAAAGGGGGGGTCTGGGCTGCTGACCTAGGGTGGGAGGTGTGGGTGTTTTGGTGTGTGGGAGGAGATCCGCAGATATGGCGTGCATCCCCCACCCCCACCCCCACCCCCCAGGGGTTGCCGAGTCCAGTTCCTGAACACTCATTAGGTTGCATTTGCACCCACACTCCCATCCCCCGTTCGCGAAATTGCATACGTAATACATGCATACATACATGGCCGCTGCCTCCCGCCCTTATGCCCATCAGGTGGTTGAGGCAGTTATTCCGCTGCTGCGTTCCTCCTCCTCCACCTCTTCGTCTTCCGGGCTGCTCCTGACCCGTGGGTCGTTTTCTCCTTCAACTGCTGCTGCTGCCGCATTGGGTGGAGGTGGACCTGGAGATGGTGGTGGTGCAGGTGCAGGTGGCGGTTGTTCGGTGGTTTCGGAGCACGCCGCCAGCGTGTTGGCTGTGTTGGCTCAGAACCCCGACATGCACTTCCAGATGGTGGGGGCGGGGGCCGTGCCGGCGCTGGTGCCCCTGCTCACAACCGGTGAGGAGGTTGGGCGGGCGGGGTGGGGCCTCTGGCGAAACCCAGCGGCTGTGGTTGAGGGGAAAAGGAGGAGAGGGGCTGCCGCCCGTCGCCCCCCCGACTCACCGCCATTTCCGCCAGCGAGTCGCTGTTGACTCCAGTGTGGCTTGAAACACACATACACACGTACATGTGTGTATAGTCATAATAATCTGAACATGAAGCACGAATACCACCCCCCTCCGCACCTCCAGGCACCTCGAGGGCCCGGACGTACGTCTTGGCGATCTTGCTGCTGCTGTGTGAGCATGAGCCGCGCCATGCGGCTGTGGTGGTGCGGGCGGGGGCGGTGGCGGCGCTGGTGGACCTCGTCGGCCGGGGGGGGGCGGCGCAACCGCAACAACCCGAAGGGGCAGGCCGGAGCCCCCCAACATCAACAGCTACAGCTACAGCTGTTGGTCCTGGGAGTGCTGCGGGTACCAGCAGTAGCAGCGGCAGCAGCGGCAGCAGCGCTCAGGAGTTCGCCGCCGCAGTGTTGTGCAGCTTGTCGAGATATGTGGACGTGCAAGTGGGTGCCGTGTGGGGTTTGGATGGGGAAGGGCTTAGGTTTGAGGGGTTAGGAGGGGGGTTGGGAGGGGGGTTGGGAGGGGGGAGGGAGGGGGGTTAGGAGGGGGGTGGGTGGGAGGGGGGAGCTCGGGGACGTTGGGTCGCGGCCTGCGGGCTACATACACCCCCCCACACACACATGGGAGCCTCTCCGCCGCATTTACCAACAGTGTTAACCCCCCACCGGGTGCCCACCCAACCCCACCTGTACTGCACACCTGTACTGCAGGTTGAGCTGCGGGGCTGCGGAGCCTTACCCGCCCTCGTGCGGTGTCTAGGTCGGGGCCCGCCGGACGCCGCCGTCAACGCCGCGGAGGCGCTTGTGCACCTGGCGGCGGGCGACAAGGACGCAAAGCGGGCTGTAGCCGCCGACCCCGCCGCCGCCGCCGCGGTGCTACAGCTGCTGTCGCACCCGAAACCGAATGTGCGGTACTGGGCCCTACAGCTGCTGAGGACTGTCAGCACGGACGATGACGCGTTGCGACTGATGACCGGCGTGTCGTCCGAGGTGGGAGAGGAGGAGGAGGACGGGGGGAAGGAGGGGGAGGTGGGTAAAGCGACGGGAAGTAGTAAGGACTCCGATGTAGCGGCGGGAGTTGATGGTGTACGGCGCCGTGCCGAGGACGTGGCGGTGTCCTTGGGTTTGTGGCTGCCTGGAGCTTTGCGGGGTCCGCCGGCGGCGGATGCGGGGGACGCACTTCTGGTGGGTCCAGGGAGTGGGGGGGAGGCGGGGACAGAGCGGGAGCTGGATGGGGCCCGGGGGGGAGAGGTTGAGCACCTCGCCGGTCGCGCGGAGGCGCTGGTGGCGGCGCTTGTACGGCTGCTGCGCTGGCGGGACGGTCCGGCGGCGACGAGCTGGCAGCAGGGCCGTTGCCGAGTTTTGGCCGGGTGGCTGCTGGCGCGGTTGTGCGGGGTACGGGAGTGCGCGCCGCTGCTGCTGGCGGCGGGGGCAGTACGGGAGCTGATGGCGGTGCTGGTGGAGGAGCAGCAGAACGTGGCGGCGGCGGGGTCGGGGATGTACGGCATGCAGTCGTCGGGAGAAGGTCTGAGCAGTGGTTTAGCTCCGCCGTTGCTGCCCGGGGAAGGGGGGAGGGGAGAGAGCGGGTTCGAGGCGGATGAGGATGAGGAAGGGGGGGCGGCCCCACCGGCGCGGGGTGGGAGTGTTCGGCCGGGTGGAATGACGCCCTCGGGGGGTGCGGGTAGGGGCAGCGGCGGCGGCGAGGGCGGTATTACCTTCCCGAGAAGGATGCGGTTCGATGTCAACGCTTCGGCTGCCGCCGCGGCGGCGCTGCTGTCGGTGGCTCGCACCGGGCGGGGCGGCCGCGTGGCGGTGCTGTCTGAGCTGGCTCTGACTCACTGGATGGGTACTGCCGTACACCTGGAGGGCCTGGAAGGGCCATGAGGAACGGCGAAGGACTGCATGATAACCAGTTGGCGATGAAGCACTTTGTATTTTTTGTGACATGAAATTATAGTCGTACATTGTACATATCTTTCGTACAGACGCGATGATCATCGCTGTGACGCGATTGGATCGCAATTGGATGTTTGATAGTTGGGCTGTGTGTCCCTGCTTCCCTTGGGGACTGGGAACCGACATGTCCCCGATTTTCCCCCTTTTTACATGTCCCCAGCAAGGACTTTCAAATGCTGGGCAAATGCTTGCCGCACGGCCACGTCGCCAGCCCACCGCGATGCGACGTTTTGCGAACATGGTGGGGCTGGTTGTTACTGATTTGTTACATTTGCCATTTGACTGAAGACTGAACATGTTGAGGGCAATCCGCCCGAGTGGCATGGGTGTATGTGACACTTGAGCATAAGCGCGGATTGTTAGGTTTGTTACAAACGTGAACGTACTTACGCCTATTATTTGGGTAGTGGTTTGTTGGCAGTTTGATCCGTATTCCTCGTTCAAGGGTTCGTCCATTCGTTATACGTTTCTCGTCTTGGAGAGTTCGGAGGAAAGTGAATTTTTTTTACTAAGATGCGACTATGTGGTTTCGTTGGTTGTACGACAACAGGTGCGACGGGAAATATACACGACGGCGGTATGGAGGTGCATGCGAAGGTGCCATTTTCATTTTGCAGGGCTATTGAAATAGTAGTCCGTGATCACGAAAAGCTTCCTTCTTCCTCTGCATGAGAGGGGCGCGTAAGATATAACTTAGCGGGCACTTGGGTAATGGTGTACGTACACGCCGTACGGCAGTAGGGGAGGCATAGCTGAACCAGACATCTTCATTAGGTTCAGAAGTCCTTGCGAGGGCTGTGGAGCTGCTGATTGCACAAGCAAACCTGGCCGCCTACCACCTTCATCTGCGCACCACTACACCGGGGAAAGCGTGGTGTCAACGTCCTCGCCCCGAGGACGAACGGAGATCATCATCAAAACGCAACCTAACCAACACCTAATTAAAAACCGTCTAGATTTCAGCGTTTCATTCTCGGCAAAGTGCACCAGCCACTGATGCGCACCTGGGGCTTGTGTTGGTATCGGAGGGGGTACAATGACGCGGAGCTACCTGGTAAGCATGTGGATCATTCGGGTCAGGAGGCGAGTGACCTTGCTGGGGACAGACGTCGCGCACACTTCCTAGAATGCTGATTTACACAAAGCGTCTCAAAAGTGAAAAGGATACAACCTCACAGATTGCTATGCTGAAGGCAAGCTCGTCAATTTGTCCAAGCAAAGTACAAAGGTGGCTGCTCTAGGAGCCGTTTGTTAGTCGCCTAACCTGCAAACAAGAAAAACAACATGAAAAGACAACACCCTTTCGGTGGAACCCACATATCGACCGACTTATGTCGAAGCTGCGCAAAACCCACCTCGCCTTCAGTCTTCCGAGCGACACCCAAAACCGTCCGCTTCATGAAGCAAAACTAATGCTCACCTACATACTGAAGTGATTCTCCTAATGCTCACCATAGCTCATCTGAGATTTACTCTCCGCCATAACTTAACCTTACTTCCTTTTAGTACAAACCCGCAATTCGCATAGCAGGGGTTACTTAGGATCACACAGCATTTAACCTCTCACGAAACAAATGACACTCACACAAGCAAACACGCATACGCCAGCCAGCGCGTGTCAGGCCCTGTCCCTGGCCATAAAGCGTTTCATACAGAAGTCGGAACAGGACATGTACCGAATGCATCGCAGCAAGGAACTCATTAAATTGACACCTAGCAATCGGTCAAGTTGTCCCGACATGCCATAATTTAACGTCTTACCGCACGGATCACCCCGCTGACAAAATACGGGATTCTGGAGACTATATACCGTTAGGGAGGCTTGCTCACCCACAGCCGAACCACACGGGCATCAAAACTTCAGGGCAACTTGGCAACTTGCCCCGAATCATTAAGGCTGGAGGACCTCCTCCCCTGTTCCGAGGCAAGGGTTGCCCACTGCTCCTCGCCCCAGGTGGCCCGCTGTGGCAACCTGCTCAAAATCTCTGGACCTACAAGGCGCGGCATATGCGGTACCACTCCGCTGTATATAGAAAAATGTTCACTGTACCGCAATCGCACCAGGGATGGGAACCGCTCCAACGACACTCCAAACGACGACAGGCTCGCAATCGCGGAAGCGCGACGCCCCTCCTCTCAGATTTTCACAAATATCGCGACACGGAAACCGCACTATAGGGCGGCAAGACGGCGTACGAAATAGCGAACTGGTTCCTGAAGCATCGCGGAACGCTGTGCACTCAGCGACCAGCTGGCTCAATAGTCGACGTTAGGCCATTCAGGCGCAGGCCCTCACAGTACCGCTCGGCATTCTCTTGTGGGCAGGCAACCACAAGAGCGACCCCGGTCTCGTGCGCTTCCTGCGCACCAAATAGCCAAAAGCAGCATGGCGTTCATCGAAGTACTCAGCCATCACTAACCATAGGATAGCGTCCACGCAAGAGGAATCCAACCTAAGCAGTGACATGGGCGTGATGACTGACAACCCAAATCGAGGAATGGGCCTTAAATCATAGGGGTTGGCTAGTGTCACAGACCCACACCCAAGCACAAGTGCTCACCTGCATAACAGTCACCGCGTCATCCACTGTAATCTCTTCCACAACCTTCAGCAGCACTTTGACGACATACCTAGCAATAGGTTGAAACGAGGGTGCCAATTAGTTACGTGTGGCTGTACGTCAAAAAATTGCCACCTGTCCAACTCACTTACTCGCGTTTATTGTAATTGTCGTTGTGCAAAAATACCTTGTATATAGGTGGCCGCTTGTAAGCCCGATCCGTCCTGAAGGCCCAACCAGCAGCATATCAAACAGTAAACAACACAACATCTTATGAACCAGCAAACGAGCTCCTTAAAGGATAACTGAAAAGTTCGAGGGCTGCCGCATCGGTTGAACCGAGGGTGAAAGCCAAAGCACAAGGGTTCCACCAGCATTCACAGCACCGCACGCACCTAACAGAATGCATATGCGCGTCCCGGTCTTCAGCATCCTATATTAAAAGCGTCCACAATAAAACAAGGTAAGACCAAAGAGCTCACCCTTGCTGAGGTTCTGAAGTTATGGTTGGGGAGTCTAGGAGCCCAGGTACGCCAGCGCGCATCTGCACACAAGTCCGTGTCGTCTGTGACAGCAACGTGCTGGTACCTGCACAGGCAGCCATGCGTTAAGCTCCTAGCGCACCTCAGAGCGACATAGCCTCCAACAACATGGCGTGACCGCTGTCACACCAACAAGGCAGCGCTTGTTGCTCCAAACCCACCAAAGTTAGCGCGGCGCCAGCCCAAGCATGCCGACCCTGGCAAGACCGCCTGCGACAAGTTAGATACCGTCCAACCTGTGTGAACAACCGCACAAACGACCAGAATGCGAAAACAAACGCTGATATCAAGCTTGCATTACCTACCAAAGCTGCAGTAGGCGCACGAGAAGCAACGCTAACAGGAGGCGGCCGGAGGACGCTCGCGGCCATTCTCTAAATAAATACGGCTACAAGTTCCTGGGAATAGATTGATGGGCTCTCGAATCACTATTAAAATAAATACTTCCAAACATGAAATTACAGGGAAAGCGACGGAGCTCTGGCACCATCACTACTCACTTTACAGGACTATAGTACGGCAGCGTACGAATTGACTAGGTCGCAGTCCTAGTAATCAAGCAGTCAGCTGCTCAGCAACCCAAATGAATTTCCACATATTGGCCTGAAGGAGAATCACTAAAAATGGAAGATATTCTAGGATCAGCGCGTGCTGCGCTGCAGCCGTTTATCCAAGTAACGAATTTGACTGATCTCTATAATGCGTACAAGACAATTCCAACTCAGTATACCTTGATTGGCCACTGCCTGTGTTTGGCCGCGCTGGCCCCGGAGTTCAAACATCGCTTCCTGGTGCATTTCTGGGTGCGTCCGGCGGCTTTCGCACAGCGTTGCTTGCTATTGTGCGATTGCACAATTACCCTGAAGTCGGTTAAGCTTCGTGGGCATGCTTAACATGGTGCTTGTTGATCATTCGTCCTACTGCCATGATCACTGTGCACTACATACCTTACCAGTGACCAACTGAACATGCAGATGACTTTCCTTGCTGGCTTCGGTGGAGGCGTTGTGACGTCCATCCTGATAATGGTATATACATGACTACGTGTCCCCATGGGCCCGTTGCTTCAGTGCTCTCTTGAGCTGGGGTTTTACCTTGCAGGATCCCATGAAGGCACCAATAAGCATTTTTGCAAATAATGCGCTTGGCCTTACTTGGTTGATTTGCTGGTAAGCTCGGACCAACAGGCAGAGGTCGAGGTACGACCCATACGCCCCATCGCTTTCAACAAGCACTTGTGTATGTGCGCTAACGCCACTCCATCAATCCTGTCAGGTGGCTGATGACGTACTCGCCCTTCGATGTTGTCAGTCGCCTCCACTCTCTGCCACCCATCAAGGTGACCTAGGGCGATGACCTTGGGCAAATCAACCTCTTGCAAATGGAGTGATGTGATCTGACCGACGGACCATCATCCATTGGTGTTGCATGCGGATACTTTCTGTGGAAAAGGGCGCATAAGGGGCAGCCTTCGCTCCCTTTCAACCTCACCCATATAGACATTCTGGGTGGTTGCTTTCATGGGTGTACGAGCAGAGACATCTTCCCATCCAGCATGGCGTGGCAGCCTAACATGGAACTACCGCACAAGCGACCTCGCTGTTGGGGGTTTCTCGTTGCGGGTTCAGAAAAACTTCCTTCAGGTTGAGCTAGCGTCCTTTAGGCGCCCTGCCTTGAAGCAAAGCTGGCCCTGATGGTCTTGTCTGCAGACGGTGACTAAGCTGTGCGTCACCTTCATGCGTGCGAACCTCATCATCAATCGCGTAAGTACGGAACAGTGAGCAACGGGGAAACGGCGTGGCCAGGGTCCCTGGGCAAGAGACTATGAATCAACGGGGCTGACGCTTGGTTACATTGAAACATTTATTATAGTAATTTTCGTCGAGGCTTCCAATAGGTTGGGTCATGCAGATCGCATCGGCTGCATATCGCCGCGTCAACATATGCCTGTATTGTTGTCCGTCCGCCTTCCCTAAATTTCGGCATCTTGACTCGTGCACGTCAACATGCAGGTTGACCTGGCCGTGGCGCTGTTTCCCGGGGTCATTGCTGCGCCGCTGATCCTGGGCACGCTGGCCGGTTCTGGTGGCAAGCTGCTGGTGGATGCCATCCGGCACCACTGGGGCGGCCTGTCGGGCCCTACGGAGGCCAGTGTGCCCACGTTTGTGTGGCGCAGCGCAGCTCTGGCTGCAGGGGGATACTGGGCGGCATGCAAATACACCGGGCTTCTGACCAGTCAGGAAGCGGCGGCCGTGGTTATCACAGTTTTGGTGGGCAGCTGGGGATTGGGGATGTGGGAGGATTAGGGGCCTCAGGATAATGAAAGGGGCAAGCTTGGTGTCGAAAGTCACAATCCTATCGGCTGTATGGGGATGATGTATCGCTGGATAGCGGTCATCCGTATACGCTCATGGCTAGATGCGCGTGAGTGTAGCGGTCAGCTTCGGACCCATTGGGTGAGGGACGATGCACCTCCACATACGATAACGTGCGTGCAACAGGCTTGTCGTGTCGGGGTTTACCTTCTTGGTGCGTCCATTAGAGCATCCCGACACTAGCGACGGCTTTCCTTCCTTGGTTGGGTTACCACGGGTTTCCATTAATTGGCTTATGTATGAAGGGCGTCGCCTTGCCGGATAGTGCATGCTCTCAAGGCAACCGCTGCATGGGGTCACTCTGTCGTCGTCCTTTTTGGCATCCCGCTTTGTCCTTGCTGCCGTGCCTGCTTGCAGCTTGTCCACAGCCTTCTCAGCGATTTGTTCGGACCGGACTTCACCGACTTCACGTACCCTGTGGCCAAGGTGGCGCACGCGCTCAGGTAACCCGCGGGCCATGCATGTAGTGGTATTGTTAGTGGTAACGCAGGTGGAATGGATGCACTGACAGGCTAGGACTGTGCGATGTGCCCCCCGGGGGGGCAGTTCTCCCGATAGGTGCCTAACCCACCTGACCAGGTCCTGTCCCGTCGCGACACTGTCCCGTGCAGCCTGGTACCTATGCCGACGGCGACTGCCACGCCGAAAGCCGCCAAGAAAGCTGCTTCCCAGCAGCAACCGAACAAGCCCACCAAGTCCCAGCCAGAGAGCATCACTGCAAACGGCACCCAGAAGGCAGTGCAGCCGCCACAGCAAAATGGTAGCGCTTCCGCCTTACAACCAAAGGCGGGCGCATCAGGCGCCGCGGCAGCAAGGAATGCTGCATCTGGCAAGGTAAGGGGTTTGAGGCATTGTATAATATAAAACTGGAGCACTTCACGAAATTGGGCTGGGGTTGCATACATCGTTGTGATGCATGGTGGCTTGTTCACTTAACTGTCTCTTATTTGTGTTGCCCGTAAGACCAGGGGCATTAGAAAGGCAATTCTTTTCCAAACTGCGCCTGAGAGGGAACCTGCATGTTCGGTTGTGTTGCCCATTTGGTCCACAGAACGTTGCAGTCAAGGCAGATAGCAGCAGCGCCAAGAACGGAAAGAAACAGGAGAACAAGAAGACCAAGTAGAGGTACAAATGAGTGGTTGACCCGCGGCCTGGTAGCCGGCCCCTGCGTATGGGGTGGAACTTCCTACGCCGTCAGTTATCTTCGAAGAAAGGTTACGAGCTCACGAGTTGGTGCATGGAGAGAGTGCATGTAGGACGTGTCGAGGGTAAAGTGACAAGCTTGCAGGACGGCTTACAGCGCCTCGTCGCTCTGTTCCATTATTTCCCCCGAAGAAATGCTAAGTGGCAAATCCGCCCACATGCTCAGCGCGTGTTTTGAGTGAAGTAAGAACGGCTATTTTTCTCGTAATATGCGTTTGGTTTATTGCAGTCATGGCTTTGCAGCCTCGAACAGTGAGCATGAAGATTTGTCAAAATTCCAAATTGCATTGAAGCATGGGAACGTGTACTTGCGGCCATGCCACCAGGCGTGTGTGGTGACACGGTGATGTAGAAGTTAATTGTATTGCGGCCTGTGCCATACTACTGGGCCGGTAGAAGTTCTTCGCACGGGTGGACTACTATTCGTGGGCTGGACGAGAAAGTTGAAGTGCTATGGCGTGGAAAATCGAAATCCTATTTAAGACAGCCCCATGCAATCCTGAGGCAGGAAGGCGCGGTTGGTCACGGGGGCCACTGTCTGTGAGGTTTTGTCGTCCCGTAGGTCGTGCTCTGTTGCGTTAGATAGGGACCATCCCTTCCTATTGTAATAGGGCATAATCTATAGGCGATAAGGAAAATCTCACGGACGACGGTCCTTACGTGCCATGCCCTTGGATGTGACGGGCTGCCGAGCTGTGGTTGTGAGCCAGTTGCACGATGGGTTGCAGATGGCGGAGGGATTAGGGGAGTTGCCCAACGCTTGAGGTTGGAACTGCTACCACCGGTTGATGATGGCGGTTAAAGCACTGACTGAGATAATTGTGTTGTAAGAATCCCAAGGTATGAAGAGTAAGGGCTAATGAAGGCGCAGGAGCTGTAATCCGTGCGATGGTTAGAAGCTGACCTGCAAAATGAGGTACGTCGAGGCCCCATCGACCCAAAAGAAATCGCAGAACATGGCGCTTCCGTGGCATACACACCCCTAAACGTTAGTGACCGACTTGGTTGTTAGTCCCCCTTGTGTGGCCAGGAGCATATGACCTGTTGACCTGTGTTATTCAGCTGGCGCTGCCTGAGGCTTATCCAGTTCGCGGCCCACCTGGTCGAAAGCCTTATAAGATCTACAAGGCAAATAGGTGATGTTGTGTGCCCATGCCTTGCCGAAATCCCCTTGGCACCAATGCCGCACTCTCAGCGTGTCGGGGTTTTGACTACGCGATTTTTGCTAGACGGCGCTCCAACACCGACGCGTAACAGTTCGCGAGCATAGGGGTTACTGCAATCCGTAATGCCCCGCCCAGATTTGAGACTGTGAACTGCCTCGGATAAGGGCCTGCAGAGCGAATATGCTCCATGAGCGGATGCAACATCGGAATAATTCTATTGATACCTGGTCCCTGGTCATCTGACTGCGGCACAGACGTGTTACTGTCGCAGGCCCATGATTACCGTACAATAACGGAAACCAACGCCTGAGTGCGCAGCCCGTTAGAATGCAATACAGAATTCACTTTATGCCATATTGCAAAGGATATACCTGTGCAGTTTGCCTCAGCGTTTCCCTATCTGCGTTGAATTTGGGGAATTGACTCGTCCGCCTTGGCATGGTAAACGTTGTGATGCGAATGACGACGCTAAAACTGCATCAGTAAAATATCTGAGGTGATATTCGGTTCGGTTGGCACTAATAGGTATTGAGTACCATCCGCCATGTTTGGCCAACGCCACGACACAGCATTAAGGACTGACTCCAGCTTATGGAAAGGTAAAATAGAGTCCTTACTGTGGACAGCCGCAGCTATCTGTGTCGTGCTGTATGGAACGGGGCGTCATGACTTGCTCACGGTTTTGCTTTTCGACAGCCGGCTGAACAGGTACGACGGACGTGTACTTGTCCTACTGTTGTTGAAGGACGTAGAGCGTAACAAATTTCTGGCTGGTTGTAGGTCGTTTGTTTGGTTAGGATTTCTAAATGTCTTTTTCAACGTGATTCTCTTTCTATATGTGTATGCATGGTACGTAAAGTTTTGGATTTTGTAGGGACCTGTGTATATTGGAGGAGGTATGCAATCATGGATTTCGGCCTCACGCTGCAGGCTGGGCTATGCTAAAGGCATGAAGGATCCTGTCACCTCAGGGTCCCTGGCAATCCCTGCAGGTGCTGTAACATTCGCAGTTACTATCTTATCGTAAGTACTGCCAAATCCTTTTGTTAGGCATGTTCAGGGAATGTACTGTTCCAAGATCCGGCAACCAATTCGTACGTTTTGCTGCAGCTTCCACTGTTGTTACTGCTCTCATGCACGTCCGCATTCCTCTCAAGCAGGTTCATCGTGGCCCTTTGGCCGGTCTTCGGCGTCATAGCCATTGCTCAAGTGGTGAGCTACAACAGAAATAGTTTGGACCATACCCCATACCTTACGGGGTGACATCATCTTGCTCGCAGGTCGTCGTCACGTACGGCATCATTTCGGCCATGACCTTCATCCCCGGCATCGGACCTCTCAAAGTCTCGAAGGAAAACAACCGTAAATGTAATTAGCGGCCGCGGCCAGAAGCATGTCGCTGGCTTGACCTGAGCATCTTTGCGTCCCCCACGCATTGCCTTCGTCCAAACGAGCCATTCTGGCCTGCGCACCCGGGGCCATAGCCCAGAACGAAGCTAGGAGCTAAATGCAAAATTCTCGGCATCAGAGCTTCGGCGCGAAAACGCAGTCTGCAGCAATCGCCGTGCCTAGCCAGACCGACACCCCTGCTTAGCGAAACCATAACCTAGCTACCATGCGCATTGCGGACTCCATCCCACACTCCCACCTAAAGCCTGCCCCAAATGTGCCGCCGCTCCTACCATGTCCCCCATAGCTCCCGACGCCCGTCCCTCTTCGGCACTGAGGCAGTCTACTGCGGCGTCCGCACACAGTAATCCACAGACACCAAATCCTAAGCCCAAAACATTCCTGACAGAAAAGTTACGTATCAACTCCTGCCGTGAACCACGGATTGCCGTTCCTGCCTACCGATCCTCAACGAGCCCGTCAGCACGCGAAAGGGAGCCACAGGGGTGTTCCACAGGAACGAAAAACTTTAAAATAGCCGCACACACCTGCAGGGCAAGACCCGCTGCAATCGACCTCGCCTTGTCCTGTACGGCCATAATCTATCGCACTTCACCGCGCATACTAACCACGTGCCCTAGTCGGTCATTACAACACCGCCCATCCGAAGCTTATCAAGCTGCTACGCTGTCTCGAATCATAGCCCACTTACGCCTACTGTAAACGTAAGCAAAGAGCCACAAATCGAAGCCTTTATCACCCGCTGAGGAATGCGAATTTCCCGGAAAGCGTCTCCACGTCCTCTGGCATGTCAAAAAACCGGGATGCCTCTAGGCCAGAAGCGCGCCACAGCTCAGCCGCCTTATCCACGCTGCCAGCATCGCACGCCTGTCAATGGAAGCGACGCATAGCTCAGCGTAGGGAAAACGAGAGCATCAACGCCCTTGCACTGAGCTCTAAAAATATTAGTCCATTATGTACCAGCATGTTAGCATCAACACGATCAAGATGTGCACGGAACCTGCATCCATTCGTCTTGCCAAGGGTCCCTAGAAGGATCCAGTGTTGCCAGCTTACCGCTTTTAGGACATTGGCAAGGATGTCATGCCCGGCGACACCGCTCTCCACCAGAGGTGGAAGGTCCGAAGCAGATCCGGCATCCTCCTCATCACCACCACCGACAGGGCCCTTAGCTTCCAGGATTGGCCGCAAGCATGGCGCGAGGCTGATATGCCCTTGCGCGGCCAACTGCCCGATTGCCTTGGCAGCAACGCCTGTGTTCATAAGCAAGAGGGCAGGTATCATCAGTCGTCTCTTTCTCGCTCTCCTAGCCATATCTGATCTGGACGATCATAACAGAACAGCACCCGCTGGCTGTGTCCATTCACTTGGCACTGACAACTAATTGCTTCGGTGGAGACCTGACGCATATCGTTCCATGGACGCAAAATACTCTCACCTGCAGCCTTCGGGTTATCTTCATGCCAGGTATCCAGCTCGCCCATAAACCTGCGCAGGACGACAGAAAAGTATCGTTCCATCGAGGCAATCAAGAGCATGCTATGAATTTCCATTCTGCTTGACAGTAACTACTAGTGGAGTGAGCAATACCGGATAATAAACGCCATCTGCGTACATTCGCCAATTATACCCCCCCATGAAGTACCTGCCAAAAGCATCCTCGAGCATTGAGGAGTTCAAGACACCCTCTGTTGAAGTTAGCTGCTCAACAAGCATCTCCTGCATAAGCACAACGGCGGACGACGTGACAGAGCAGACGTGAGTAAAGCTTTACCACACATAGGTGGAGCTGCTCTGTGCGACATGTTAACGAGGTGACGGCACGAAAACGTCCTCCCAGCAGATTCCCACCTTCAGGAAGTCGAGGCGGTTTTCCATGTCGATGCCACGAACCTCGAACGCCTCCCGCAAAGCAGCCGCTAGGACGACACCCATGGGAGCACCCGCGCCCTTGAAGCCCGCCAGACTATCAGCAGCAGCACTCTTCTCCTTGACCTCGTACAGCTCCTTAACCCACAGTGCACCTGTCCATTGCGACAACGTCAGTAAAGCAAACCGATGTGACAACAAAAAGATGTGTCACCAAGTCTCATCAACCAACCTACTGCCTGTGAAGCCGTTCAGACGTTATGCCTTGGGTGAAGAGGACGCAAGCACGTCCAGGACTTCACCCAAACATTGAGCGTCGGACAGCCCCTGAAGTTTCTACCTACCCTTTTTCCGGGCCACCTCGTCGCTCATGCCCGCCGGCGGCGGTGGCGCCTGGCGCTCCTCCCTCGTCGTGGCCGCCGCCGCAGCGGCCGGTGGTGCCTGAGCGCGAACAGCCGCCGCTGCGGCTTCACGTGCACTGGCCGCCGCCGCAGCGATGACTCCAGCTGGCTGCGCAGGGCTTCCCGTCCTGCAAGCACGGGAAAAGCAAGGCAAGAGCAACACCACCAGTGCCATGCTGACATTACATTCAAATTGTCAGCCTGAGGCAACAAGCCCTTCAGGACCCCTCCATTCCCTTCATCGGTCTAAGTGAGTTCACGGCCTGCACCAGTTTTCAAGTAATAACTCCTGTCCACGCTTGTCCACCAAAGAACGTTTGAACCGTACATCCAGATACTGACACGTACCGCTTGCCGGTCATGAAGGCAGGGCGCAAGCTGACTTCAGCGCTGGCCTGGCGCTCCATGGCGGCGCCGCGCAGTGGGCGCGGCACCTCCCCGCGGGGCATGAGCCGGGCTTCGTCCTGTGAAGGCCCCCCGAATCGACCAGGCGGTGGCGGCGCATCGCGGCCGCCCATGCCTGGGCCACCGCGCCCACCTGGGCCCCTGGGCAGCGCGAAAAAGCAGCAATCAGGCAAAAAATGCAGGATTCGTTGAATCATTTTAACAGCTGATACACATCATGTGAATTATGGCGGCTATATTGAGACTCCTCACTACCGTGTACACGTAGGTCAGATACAAGCAAATCTTTTAAAGCTCTCAAACCTCAACGACATTATGGGCTCCACTCAACCGTGTCATCTCGAGCGCGCATCGTTCTACTGCTTTGCGGCCGTGGGGCCTGCCAGCTCAACGGTTCCATTCCGGCAATCACCTTTGCGCGTACCGCTCCTCGCGGTCCCGAGACGCCTGGGCCGCCATCTGAGCTTGCGCCTCGCGATGGACGTCCTCGATACGCTTAGGCCCCTCGACCTTGCGCCGCGACACCCACCTACAATACAGAACACCATTACAGAAGCTATCGATGAAGCTGAAACACGGCGCGAGTTCAAACAAGGTTTGGCGACCGCTAAGCAGTGCACAAATTTAGTAAGCAGATCTGCGCCTCTCATGACTTCGAACAGCACACCCACTTGGCAGCCCGCAGGTCCAAAACGTCCTGTATGGCGAACTTGATACGCGAGTCCAGGTTCGAGCCCTTGCGCAGGCGCTCCATCCGCTGGAAGTAGACATCCAGGGGGTTGCCGATTGCGGCTCCCTTCTTGTTGACCTGCTCCTCAAGCTGCAAGGATTGAGGACAAACGGCAAACGAGGCAAAGTCAAGCCGACCAGCAAATTATTTCCTGACCAAAAGCAAACCACAATCCGCATGTTGCTCGCCAGCTTATTACGTAGTCAGATGAAAGAGTGTCCTTTCCTTTACACGTCCAGCACCTCAGACGGGACAAAACGCGCCCGGCCCCCAAATCGGAATGTACACCTCTTCGTTGAGGCATCGGATATGCAAGAGGACTCACAAACAGGTGTCTACAAGAGGACGACCCGCACGTGGAGAGACAGGGCAGATAGCATACAACTCTCGGCGATAAATTTTGGAAGGCTGCAGGCTTTCCATACCTGTTTGCCCAGGGTCGTGAGAAGCTTGCAGAGGCACTCGATATCATCGGGCCTAGGTGACAACTCGTCGTTGAGCAGCTGCACAATACAGCTGTGAATGATGCGCTCCGTGAGAAGGCCGCACTTGTAGAGGTGGCCGATGAACTGGATGTTACCCAACATGCGGCGCCGTGCCTTCAGCTCGCGCTCCGCCTCGGCAGCCTCTGCCAGCGCCTTCGCGCGAGCATCATCGGTCGATGCGGCCGCTCCGGATGCCGTGGTGGGAATCTCGCCCTCCTCCAGCTGCAGGTAGAGACACACCGGGCGAGACATGGCGTCCAACTTTTGCTTCGAGCAATACGACAAAGCATTTAATAAAGCCACAGGATCAACCCCCCGTGACAAACATTTCAAGGCGCTGTACAAAACTATGTTGAGACGTTGCATCCCGTGGATCAGGATAGGATACCACAGCAATGCGCCAAAGCGTTCGCACAAGGGTATGCATGTCTGTAAAAAGGCTTATGCAATCCGAACTGATGGCACCCGAGTTTTGAATGCCCATCCGAACATATACACGCAAGCGCCTCAAAAGGCCTGCGATGTCGCGAACCCGCACGCACCTTGCCGTTGTCGGCTGCCGCTTTAGCCGCCTTCTGCTTGCCTTGCTTCTCCTTCTCAGCCTCCTCCTTGTTGTGCTCCTCCCGCTCCTTCACCTTCTTCATTGCAGCCACACCGTCCTCAAACTCCTGCTGACACTTGTTGAGCAGCAAGCGACGGAAGTCCACAGGCTTCTGGTTGTTCGGATCGTTCGAGGGGAACTGAGGCAGGGATGGATGGATCTCCCTGTACGAAAAAAAGATCAGGATATAATATGGTCTTAGTATCGACGCCTCATAACCTGAGGAAAGAGCGAACCACCAACACAGCGCGAACAACCATGAGTCACGCCGCTCGATTTAAGGTTGCCTTCGGCTATGGAAGGGACGCCATGCTATACGCCTGAGCATCCGCTCGGCGCTTGACATTTTTTGAATACCACATCATACTGCGGTCCCACAACCCGTGAAACGTACTTGCACAGGTTGGCATACATCTCGCTGAATGTGGTCTCGATGAGCGCCTTGTCGAAGATCTGGTTGATAAAGCCCTCCAGGGTCTGCGATAACACGCCGTTAACAAAGCCACGAGGTCAAGAGTAATCCTTAACCCACCCTGTACTCCCCAGGTCCCGCCAGGAGCAGGCTACAGGCCCTCAGCAAACGTCTCCAAAAGACAGCAGCGTGATGAGTGAAACATGGTTTGCCAAGACATGCGAGACAGCTTCTTGCCCAAAACAAGTGACGCCAAAGATGAATCGGTTTTGCCAAAGGTAAATCGACAAGCCATTGAATCTCAAACACCGACCTTCTGATGCGTGATGGGCACCGAAAGGATCTGCTGCTTCAGCTTGTCGTAGTTGTCCGGCGTGAGCTTGTTCAGAATACCCTTAAAGGTCTTCTGCTTCTTCTCCTCCTCCGGGTCTTCGGCCGTGCTGATGCCCGCCTGCCAGCGGTTCCCAGTCTTGTGCAGGTTAACAGGACCACCACCTATACCATACCCGCCTGGCGTGCCCGAGCCCTGGCGTGACATACCACGGCTGCCACCACCCCGCATGTCGCCACCGGGTGATGGGGGCGGGGGCGGACCGCGCCGTTGCCATCCATCATCCATGTTGGCTGCAAAGGGCAAGGGCAAGAAAAGATCCCCAACTCCTCTTAGCAACAGGCATTGGTGGATTCCTTGCCGCCGCTGACAGGAGCAGTTAATCATAAAGCAGACATTTCATGACAGCAGGAAAAACCCCAAGTAGGCATGTTCCTGTTAATGTATCATCGTCTTGCTGCGGACATAACCTCGAGGCCGTGAGCCCCCGAAGTAACTCTGAATTGTAATAGAAAGATGCGTAGTACAGCTGCCACCATCAGCCCTCACAATACGATCAAGGTTCCCTCCCCACGTCGGGTCTCACCTGATCCCCGGCGGTCCATGCTGCCACCCGGCCCGCCACGCCCTGACGGGCCGCCGCCCCGCATGCCGTCACGGTCCCTGCGATCGCCACCTGGCCCACCGCTCCCACGGTCGCCCCGCATGTCGCCGCGGAAGTCACCGCCGCGGCCACGGTCATCACGACGGCCCCACTCCGCTTCACGGCTACCCGCGCGGCCCATCACGCCGACCACGCCGCCGCGAGTGTTATCCTGGGGACTGTCAAGCCCAATGGTTTGCTGGTGGTACGCGTCCAGCGGCACCGGAAGGGGCATGACCATGCACTTGCCGATGGACATCAAGTAGTCGCGCGAGTACCGGTTCTGGCGCGGGTCCGCGGTACCGGCAGCAGCAGCGGCAGCTGAGCCGGAGGCCTCCCCAGAAGCTGCCTCGTCCGCACGCTCCTCCCAGTGCTCCGTCACCTCCTCGACGGCCGCTGGAGCCGCAATAGCAGCCGCTGCTTTGGGTTCCTCAACTTCCTGCGCAAGATGGCAAGAAGTAATGCGTAATGGCCAACATAAGAGAGAACATAACATGTGCAGCCGATGGTGGCGAGCAGGCAAATCAAGCAGCCTTATTGTCTAACGTGATTGGAGGAGGCTGGAACAAACAAGATTGGAAGCGGTACGCCCATACCTTGCCGGTATGCAAGCACAGAGGGTAACAACATACCCTTCTTTTTTCCCAACAATGTCGGGTCGAATTTGCCGCCAACTCAACCGTGAGGAAGAGCAGTGCACAACACCTCAGAGCAGCGGTCATAACAAAGCAAACACCGAGAGGTACGAGGTACCCTGCAGCCTACCTCCTTAGGCTTGGCAGCCTCCGCTGTTTCCGCCTTGACAGGGGGAGCTGGCTCCCTGAAGGCCGACAAGAGGTCGTTGTTGGCGCCCTTGGCCTCCGCATCACGGATAGCCTGCTTCAGGTTCTTCTTGCGGCTGCCCGTGCCAGCACTGGTTGACCCAGGTGCCGAGCTGTCGTCTCCAGACCCCGAACCAGAAGCAACACCCGATGTCGAAGAAACAGCCGCCTCTTCAGTAGCCGCAGCCGCAGGCGCTGCAGGGGCTGTAGGTGCTGCAACGCTCGTGACCTCTTGGGCGGGTGCGGCTGCCGCTGGAGCAGATGAGGCAACAGATCCCTGCAAGGCGGGTGCAGAGAATAAAGATTGGACACTGCAACGTCTATAAAACACAGTGCAACACAGCGGAACACGGATCCCGCAAATAACGTGCCGAGGCGAGGACTCGTTACCATAAGCAAAGGACCCTTACAAGTCTCGGGTCGAGAGGCATGAAGGAGGATACGCCACAAGCGTTGTTACCATAATGGTCCATTCGCATCCGGCCCCCATAGCACCTGACCTTGTAAGCTCACCTCTGTTTCCTCCTCATCTACAACCTCGATTCGGAAGGAAGCCGGCTGCTTGGAAAGGGAAGCAGCAGGGGCCGCCTCCGGAGCTGGCACCGTAGGCTCCGACGTGGACGGCGTTTGCACAAGGGCGACCGACGCTGCCTCGTCTGGTTTCACGGCGGCCTCTGCCTTATCACCCAGCGCTGGAGTGGGCGCAGGTTGCTGGGCAGTCGCACTGGGCGTAGCTACCGCCGGACCATTTGCGCTCTCCATTGCCTTGGTTGGCGACGCCTCAGAGGGCTGCTTGTGCTCAGTTGCTGCCTTAAGCGGCTCGGACTTGGGCTGCGTCATAAATTTCAGGGACGAGAATGGAACCCAGTCAGCATTAACTTGCGACAACGTGGCGGCAGGTGTCGGCATTTCTTAAAAGGACAAATCATGGATGGGAACTGGGAAGAGGACATCGCGACAAACTAAACGAATTTTAGCCACCCCTTGGTCCCGCCCGCTGCACAGACCAAATATCCTATCGTCTATCACGATTTTCCCGTCAACGAAATAGTGTCCACCTTACCTTGACGGTCGGTTCCTTAATAACCAAAGGGCATCGAGGACGTGCCGCAGGCGCTGCAGCAGGCTTAGGCCCTGCCGAACCCACGCCCGCTGCACCAGCGTCCACAGGCTTGCCATCCACAGCTCCCGCCGCGCCACTGATGACCACTCTTTCATGTGAACTGGGGTCGAAGATTTGCAAGACCTTCTTTGCTGGCTGGGGCGGCGGCGTGGACACGGGGGGTTTCGTCTGCGCCGCGCTTCCTGGGGCAACCGCAGGAAGCCCGGCACTGCTTGCGCTGCTGCCGCCCGCAGCGACAGCACCGGGGCCCTGCAAAGGTGCCGGCGTAGGTGCGGGAGTGGCGGTGGGCGTATGCGGGGGTGGCGGCTGCGGGGATGGCGCCGTCGGCACAACGGCAGGTACCGCGGACACGGGCGCGGCCGCGTTGGTCGCATTGATTGCTGCTTGCGCTGCCGCCGCAACAGGTGCATTCGGAGCACCACTGCCCGCATTGGCACCGGGCGGTGGTATGGGGATGGTAATCGATGCAGGCTGTGGCACATTCGGCGCAGTTCCGTAATTGGCTGGCGGAGGAGGGTGCTGCTGAGGTGCTGGGACGTGAAAGCCCACCGACAGGGTAGGCGAGCTCGCCAGAATGTGGGGAGCCCCGGGCGCATGCGGGTGGTGCGAGTGCGGGTGCGCGGGGACAGGGACCATCACGGGCACCGTAATAGGGGGTCCTCCCATAGGTGCGCCCATGACGGGGCTAGCCGAAAACATGTAAGGCTGGAACTGGCTTGGGCTTCCTGCCAGGTACTGCTGAGGGGGACCCGCCATCCCGTGCTGCCCTGGTCCGGGCCCCGCAACAGAATGGTGCTGCACAGCAGAGTAGGCGTGCTGCGGCTGAGCCATGGGAATGGGCTGTGTTGTCTGGGCAGCGTACGATGGCATGCCGTAGGTTGCCTGCGGGTAACCCCCGGGCACTGGCACTGCCATCTGCACCGGCACCTGCTGATGAGCTGGACCGCCTCTGCGACCACCACCCTGGGCACCAGGCTGCTGCGACAGCTGATGGTGCATCGGCTGTGGGGGCTGTGGCCCTGGCCCTGACCCATATGCCTGCGGCGGTGGCAGCTGCATGTGGTGCTGCGGCGGGTGGCGAGGCTGGCCCGGATGATGCTGACCTGGACCAGGGCCGCCAGACGGGCCCTGCGGAATGGGTACCCCACTCGCATGTGCAACGGGCAGCGGACCAGCTGCGTGCGCCTGCCGGTCATGGCCGCCTTGGCGCGGGTGCTGCTGCCTCTCCTGCTGGCCAGGATGCTGCATGGGAATTTGCCGCAACTGTCCAGGCTCCCGTGCCAGTGGCGGTGCAGGCACGGGAGCGACAGGCAAGGGTGCGGCTGCTGCCGGTTGGGGAACAATTTCTATCGGCGCGTGGGGCTGCACAGATGGTGCGTCCTCCGAGACTGGGATTGCCATCCTGCTGGGCTGCTGCGGTGCGCGCTCCACCTTGTGAGGCACGAAGACAGGGGTGCCACGAGGGCCCTCCTGCGCCGGATTCGCCGAGGCTGGAGCGCTGTTGGTGCGTATCACCTGCCGCGACTGCTGGCGAACTGCTTCCACGGCCGCAGGGACAGCTGTAGGCAGCGGCCCCTGGGGCGCCGCCGGCTGCTGCACGTGAATAACGGGGTGTGGCGCCGAAACACAGAATGAAGCAAGGCGTGTTGTGCGCGACGTTCATGTCGTCTTAACAATCTGACGCGTCTCCGTGGACCTCACCCCGACCGCCCCGGACCTTCCAAGATTGCTCTGTTTCCCACCGTCCGCAGTAGACCTTTAATAATAACCTACCTCCTTGCCTTGCGAATCCTCCCCCTCCATAAAGCTGCCAAACTGGATATCGCTGCCGCTCTCGGGTGCAGCGACAGGAACAGACGCGGTCACTGCAGCTGCGTAAGGGCGCGGACCAGAAGGTGCCTGAGCCGCTGGAGATGTAGACGGTGCCTCTATACATACAAAGCAAAAGGCCAAGTTATCAAGATCTGCGCCGCCTTGAATAAAAGCATAAGACCGCAAGCACCTTGGACACCAGAAAAACGCAATTTGACACACCTGGTGCCCCAGGCTTATGAGCATCTGGTCCATTCGCTGCTGGCTTGACGGCGGGCTCCCTTGCAGCCGGCGCGGCAACGGCAGATGGAGCCGGCGCCGCCTCCTGCTTTGGAGCCATCAACTTATCCTTAAAGGATGTTCCCCATGGTCCTGTCGTAGAAGATCTGCATCAGCAACAGCTGGACAAGGCGATGGTGAACAACACTGCCGCACCTGGCTTACTAGCTGGCTCCGCCGCTGCTGCAGATCCTCCGTGCGAATGTTGTTGTTGAATAGGTTTCTCAGGTTTCTCAATATCTTGAACCCTGCATATAACCGACTTTTGTCTTTTGCGTTCCGATGTCAAATCCCGTGGCGCCAGACCTACCTTTTAGCTGCCGCAGCATTTGGGTTGGGCCCGCGGCCACCACTGTGGGGACCCCGGCCTCCGCCCCGGCCGCCTGCAGCCTGGCCCGGGCCGCCCCGCTCTCGAGGGGCCATGCGCGCCCCAAGCGCGGCGAACTACAAGACTGTCAAGCGTTGTAAACAATGCAAGGACCTTTGTTGAATGGGTTTTGGTGTTAAGCTTTGGCCTGAGAAGCAAAATACAGTCTGTGAGTACTGTATAGTTTTCTCTCCAGGAGGGCCTCCTGAACCGAGTGCCGAGGCAGGACTACACTCTACGATTAATGGCCAGCATTAATCTTTCAGGTAATTTAATTCATAGCTGGGCACATAACTTTTACAATCTTCCTGCGTTGCATGGTCAACTGCAGCTGCGCTCATGCGTAAAAGCGCTGATGCGTTGGGCTTTTGGCGTGCATTACGTCATTCATCCAGATCTAAGTGTCCCTGAGATAACACTGTTGTTGAATTCTCGTTCGGCCCATCCAGTGTGCACCACCTGCTGCAGCAGCAATTGTAAGTTCGTTTTCAACACTGCTACGTGTGGCATGCAAACCAGTTGTCACAGTGAGATACGTCCTGGTATCGTTGATCTTGGTATACAAGTTTGCCGGCGACACCTCAGGTGACCGTCAAGCCCGTTAACGCCCGCACGGTGTCACTGCCGGCTAGCTGATGGCCCCTCTCCGCCGAATTATGCGTATGTACATACTAGATGGCGCTTAGTCGACCAGGTACACTGCTCGCATGACGATATTGCCCCAATGTGCAAGTGTCAGTGACATAACTTTTTGTACATTTGCCTGAGATCTGAAGTCCATTTTCATCTCCCTCTGGGAACATAGGCGCTTCAGTTTGCCTCCCACCAGTTAGCGTTAGGTCGCTGCTCCGCCTGCCTGGGCGAAGGCAAGCCAGCAGGTTATTCCAACTACATATGGATCTGTTGAATGCATGTTTACAGCTACCCGACAGGCATGGGAGTGTGGACAGCGGAGTGAAGCGGAGGCCGTGCAAAACACATTATGTAAAACGTGGTCGGGGGTAACCTATACACACCGTAGCTTCATTCCCTCCCCAATATAACCGGAGTCCCAAGGGCTATGGACTACCCATCAAAGGCTCTTGGTTGGAAAGCACACATCAAAAGGAGGGGAAATTGACGTAGCCACTTCTAAGAGTAGGCGGAGAAATTAGCATCAAATTGGCAGGGACTACAAATAAGGTTGGGTACTCTCGCGATGTTCAGGGGGTTCAAATCAGCCTGCAGGCAGTCCTCGATGGTTTAGAAAGTCTTCCGTTTGGGGGCTTAGGCCGAGTGTTCGGAAGTGCGAGCTCATGGTTTTGCCCACGCCAAGGAGGTGGAAAGCGCGTGCCTTGCACACTGTGCGGGCCTGCGGCGGCCTGAGGCCATCCCTGTTGAACGGGGGCCCCCGTACTTAGGCTTAGCCTACGAACCAGAGGAAGCGTTTTCCACTTGCCGAACAGCTCGCATCGCACTGAGGCCGCGAGGGGTGCTATGTTCGAGCTTATTAGCCATGCTAGGCAAGCGTACATGGCCTACGGATGATGTGCTTTGAAGTGCAAATTCGTTCCATGTGCTCCTGTGGCTGTGAGATTTGGCGACCTGACGCGCTCTGTCACAAAATCGCTAAGTGCCGTGATCGCAACAAGTTAGCAGAGGTCCTTTCGAGAGCTGTCTGATTGACCCTATGATGAAGCTGCAAGTAATGCTCCTGTGCAGAATAGTAGGAGCAGCACGGCTCCCCCAACAGACTGCTGTGTGCTGAGCTCTCGCAGCTTCCCTGCACTGCGTTTGGGCCAAGTGTGCTATTGTCGTAAGGTCCTGACAAACAGCCGGGGTCCCTCGCGCACACAACTCCACGCCAAAAGGTCCTCCGGGTGTCCTGGGGGAAACTCGCAGGTGGTTGGGCGTGCAAGCTGTTCCGCTTTTTGGGGGGAGATTACATTTTCATGTATGGGATGGACTGCCCTCTGAGGGCTACAAGCGATAATAGCAAGGTAGGGTGAGTGCACCGGAAACCCACCCCCAAGGGGGCAATCCTTTCTGACACACACACACACACACACACACACACACATCAGTGCCTTGCTCATGATAATGTCGAACCAGCTGTAACCTGCTCCCCCCACTCATCATGTGCCTATCGGCTCAACATCCTTGCATCCTCGTTTTGGGCGACATAGCCACAATATGAATGGTTGCCCATTGCCCCCGGAGAGCCCCCCCTTTCCATTAAGCGCCTTGTTCGCCGCTATGGCTCAATAACAGAACCTAAGCTGCACAGGCTTCTGGTGCGCCACACGCACGATATTCAAGTATTGCCACAAGGAGCCACCTCTGCAATCATATCGTCATGTTCGGTCATAAGGCCCATTCTGTCCTTGTGCCGCCATGTATCAACACATGCGCTGCAGCGTCCCATTTGTGTTGAGGACACCGGAATGGGTACTGCGAGTGTAGACGTGTGTAGACTTCCGTGGTCGCATCCGCTCACCAGGCGCACCTCTAATGCTGTCATGATGGTGACGTGGAGGTGGGGTCTGCTCGGCAGCCCGTCGGCGCGCACCTGGTCCCCGGTAACACCCCTCGGGAAATTCCGCCTCCCTAGTCACAGTCCAAATAAGGATAGAACATGATGCAGAACGCATGATGACATATTCCAACCCACACCCTTTCCCACTATGGCGATGTTCAGCGCCAAAGAGAACTTTTTATTTCACAATGCAAAACCGCTAACTGCACGCTGTGGACTACGCACTGCTTGGTAAGGTAACCCCCACGAGCTGCTCCAAAGTGAAATGGCCTGGCCGCACCAACCACTATTCCAGGTATTATGGGATGTGGAGCTGCACAGTCCCTCAAACATGGACTCCGGCAGGGCTCCTGGCAGCTTGCTGGCGCGCGTCTCTGCTCCTTCCGGCCCCGCTAGAACACCCACGAGCATGCCGGGGGAAACGGAAACCCCATGTGTGGCAACCATAACAGTCCGCAGCCGGTGCTAGAACACCTCAACCACCAGTCATTCTTACCGAGCCCCAAGCTCGGCGGTGACATGCCTGCCCTCTGTTAGCTGATTTCTGAAATTCCTGCCACTTTGCTGTGGACACTTCCACAAGGATGTATCCACGTATGGGGGCGATACAGAGGTCTCGAGGGTGCTCTCTTTGACTGGAGGCGCAGAGTGCTGCTGGCCAGGATGCTGCATGGGAATTTCCAGGCTCCCGTAACGGGGTGTGGCGCCGAAACACAGAATGAAGCAAGGCGTGTTGTACGACGTTCATGTCGTCTTAACAATCTGACGCGTCTCCGTGGACCTCAAACCCCCGTTCGCAGTAGCAATTTGACACACCTGGTGCGCCAGGCTTATGAGCATCTGGTCCATTCGCTGCTGGCTTGACGGTGGGGCTCCCTTGCCGCCCGACGCCTACTTCCGCTTTGGAGCCATCAACTTACCCCTAAATGTTCCCCATAGTCATGTCGAGGGGAGCGCCACCTAGAGTGCTATGAGTCGTGAGGCTAAAGACATCAGGGTCTTGCTTTGGAACGTGTGGGGTTTGTCGGTAGCTAAGCTCACCGACCCATCTTTCCTCCGCATTGCCCAGGACCACGATGTGCTAGTATTTACGGAAACACACTGTTCGGCGCAGGCCGGGAAGCCGGCCAAGGCCCTGGCCCTGCCAGGGTTTCAACTGCATGTAGCTGAGCGAGCCTGTAGAGGCGGAGCCGGGCCCCAGACGGGCCGGCTGCACGGGGGTGTGTCTGTTTATATCCGGGACGCGATTGCCCGGGATGTCACTTTGTTGAGGGTTGACACGGATATTGCGGGCTGCGAGTCTATTTGGTTGCGTTTGGGCAGCAAGCAAACAGGTCAGGATAGCACCCTGGTGGGTGCATGCTACGTCTCCCCCAGGGCGTCGGTAGTACACCACGCGTCCCTGAGGGCACACGAGTCTGACGGACAAGCAGCGGACGAAGTGTTTGATCATCTGGCCACCGTCGTGGGCGCCCTCCGCCAGTCGGGTGAGAGGATCCTGCTTCTGGGGGATTGGAACGCGCGCGTGGGGGGGCTGCCCAACCACCTCTCCGACATCCCGGACCTAGACTATCTTGACGATTTA